TGTCGTTTTCGTTCCTTCCTCAAGTTTATTCCTTTGTTTTATCCTCAACAATTCAGAGCGTTTTTCTCCATCAGTCATACACCTCATGCCGTTTTTAAGCAGAGAAAACGGCACTGTTTGTAGCAATCGATGCGGACTCAATATCGATCGTACAAGTGGAGAATGAGAGGAAGCGTTACAGATTTGCACGTAGCAGAAGATTACGGGCAGATCTGAATTCCCTGCCCGAAGTAGCACACTAACCGTTTAACTCCACGAGTTTCTGCTGGGTCCCACGCTGCCCGTTGCCCGAAATTTTAATATTATTTCCCCATAGTCATTGAAAGCGAACCGGTACGCGTTTTGTTCGAATTCGAGAGACAAGAAACCAATCTCGGTTTGGTTTGATGTACACTCGGTTTAGAAGAATACACCAACCCGATTTTTATAATTCGAATTGTTCACTAGAATTCGAATAAAAGTTGGTTCAGATTCGATTGATGAAATTCCGGTTCGGTTTTATTTTTGTCAAATTCAATAAACATTTGGTTGGGTTTATTGCAGCACACGAAACAAAAAGATTATTCTCAACTTTAAAATATCTTTGGCCGTTTTCTTAATGTCTCATGTCAATGATGTCATTACATAATTGACCAAATTGTTTTGTTCTCTAAGAATATTCCAATGTTTGAAAAACTAGAACCACAACATGAATTCAATTATTACCAATACTTAGGGCATCTGTGTATTGGTGAATTTTGGTGGGTATCATTAAATATAAAATTATTAAAATTTGAGTAAAAGGAAGAAAAATAGTGTTTTTGGTTAAAATAATGGGGTGTATTGAAATATAAAATTAATAAAATTTGAGTAAAAAGAGGAGATGAGTTGATACTTTTGGAGATAGAGTGTCTTTGTATCAATGGGTTGATACTTTTGGAGAGAGTTTAAACTTTAGTTGGGGTGTGTTTAAATATAAAATTAATAAAAGTTGAATAAAAAGATGAAAGAGAAGGTATAAAGTTAAGTAAAAGGAAGAGAGAGTGTGTTTTTAATAATTTTATATTTAATGATACCCTCAAAAGTTCATGGATACGGATGGCTTTATAACATATTTTAGAACACTGAATGTATAACATATTTTCGAACATTGAATGTATTTGATTAATTGTCTTTATCTATTTCTATTTAAAATTAAAATATCTCGTTGATAAATATAAATTTTTATTTAAAGTAAAATTATTTGACATATGACAAAATCTAATTGAAATTTTTTTTAATAAATGTCAAAATCCAATCAACAAACTAACACGTGTTAATTACGAAGTTTTGACGCGAAAGATAGTCGCAACAACATGTCTGAGACATTGTGGTCGAGTGGTAAAGGAGACGAGACTAGGACGTCAACACGTTCTAGGTTCAATCTACATATTGCGCGAAACTAAGTCACATTATCTTGGATACCCATATGGATATGAACCCCTGTTTTCAGCTCATTTGCATATCCCTATCCATAAACTGCATATCCCCAAAGATTAGTCTGGATCTTTTCATAGACCTGAAATTTATCCTAAATTATATATATA